GGCAATTTGAAACTTCAAATAAATAACTTGCACCTGTGTATTACAGTACTTGATGTGTTCCGTGATTAATGGAAATTGGGTATTGGCTTTCACTTAACAAGTCACAGAATAAGCTACAAGGGAGAAAAAGAATCATAATAAGAAAATAATATGACTGTTTACCCTTATTTGGGTTATAAAATTGCAAAAAAGAACTTCAACTTAAAAAAAATAACCTATATGGGTAGGTGCAAAAAATGCAGTGAAAAGATTTAAAGGGATGAATATGACACAAAATGTTGATGTCTTCATATATTACCAAAATGCAGCTAATAGTTTATTGAGTTTTTACATTAGTTAAGAGGAAGAAGTTAAATAACAACTCACATGTAAAAGTTTGTTCCTTTAAAGTTTTCTATAGCAGGAATAATTGGTAGTTTTTCTCCTTCACTGTTGCCATATACACCTGTATCCACACAGAAAAAGTTTGGAAAGGAAAATGGCCTTCCCTTGCTCTTGTTCAAATTCCTTAGTATATGGGAGGGACAGCACTAAAAACAGTGGCTAGATGATGCCACACCCATAAATTATCAAAGACTTCCTCAACACCTAACTTCTAGGAAGGTTATATTAGCTCTGTTTAATTACAAGCTACTTCACCCTCAAGCTTTGTTTCCTATAAGTGTCACTAAGGTAATGTATATTCATCAGGAAACCATGCAATACAGCCAGTGTGTGAGGGCAAATTCAGGGTATGGTAGAGAATTTAACTCATTAGAATCCCCAAACACTTGACCTGACAAATACTTGCATTTATTTTTAATAGTACACTTCTTTAACATTTTGGTGTGTTCATTAGTTTCCATTTGTTTTAAAAATATTATCATGAAAATTCTCCTGACAGTGAACACGCAGAAGGTGTAGCGTTTAGTGCTAGGCTTGAAGACCTACCATCAATCCTTCTTCTGAAACTTATTAGCTATTGACCCTAGTCTGGGCAGCTATGTGACTAAGTGGCCTGGAGTCAGGAAGACTCATCTTCCTGAATTCAAATCTAGCCTTAGACACTAGCAGTGTGACCCTGGGCAAGTCACTTAACCCTGTTTGCCTGAGTTTCATCATCTGTAAAATGAGCTGGAGAAGACAAACCACTCCAGTGTCTTTACCAAGAAAACCCTAAAATCGGGTCACAAGAGTCAGACATGACTTAAATGACTCAACCACAAAATGGCCATAGTCAAGGCACTTTGTTTCCTCATCTGTAAAAAAAGGGAATTAGAATAGATGGCCTTTAAGCTCCCTTCTAACTTTAAACCTAACCTAAATCTGTGAGAATAACATATCATCTTAAATACTTGCACAGTCACATTTAAAAAAAACAGCAAATACATATTTAAAGATATTTGATAGCTAGACAAAGAAGGGTCATTTTAATCTTCCTCTTCCTCTAGAGCATTTGTTTCTTTAAAGTTACAGAAATTAAAACCCATTTCGGCAAACCACATACTGGAGCTGGCTTCTGTAAATGCACCTGCTTATGCTGTGTTGTGCATTATAAAGATATAGTAGCTTGGCGGGTAATGCAAAGGACACAGAAAACACTTAAAAGAATTATAATAAGCACTCCTACTGATGCCATGCCATACGAATTTTCATTTCAATAGGGTTTAGCTTCTGATTTGTTTATGGGGAATACAGGGGATGAGTAATGAAGGTTTTCAAGGCTTCCAATCTGTACATGCAAAAAAGTGAGGGACAGTCATGGTTTAATGAAATCATCCATGATCAGCTTTTGTTTTATATTGCATGGACGATACTGTTTTGGTATTTTTTACATGGTAAATTTAGACTCCCACTCCCAAACACTAGATAAAAATGTAGACCCAAAATATTGAGGAAAAAAATGACTAAAATTCACTATCATCAAACATTTCTTCAGCTTAGATATGTGCAAGGTCCTAGAGAGATTTAGCAATATGAAGGGACTGCACTGGATAGAGTGTTGGTCAGAAAGACCCCAGTTTAAATCTCACCTCACGTATTAGTTGTGTGACTCTAGGAAAGTCACTTAACCTCTGCCGAAGTTTCCTCAACTGTAAAATGGGAATAATAACAACACTTACCTCACAGGATTGTTATAAAAGATCTAATGAGATAATATTTGTAAAATGCATAGCATATTGCTTGGCACATAGTAAACACTACATAAGTGCTTATTCCTTTCCTTCCTTTCCTGTACCCCCCCCCCCCCGAGGAGGTTTACAACCTTTAAAAAAAATTAGAGTTTTGTACATATTTTGTTACCTAGTCTATAAAGCTACTAAGTTTTTTAAGCAGGATTTGAACTCAGATCCTCCTGACTTCAGGGCCAGTGCCATCTAGATGTCATTGTATAACAATGACAGAATGTCATAGAATGAGGGCATGCTAAGTTTTAAAATATACTTTGTTGATATCTTTTGTTTTTTATATCACATGGATAAATACATTTTTTTAAAAACCCAATTATTAGGTGCCTGCTAGGAGCAAAGCACAGGGAATACAACATATCCCTTACCTTCCCAGAGGGCTATTCCTTATAACAAAGAATACAAAGAGAGGGGGACCTAACCAACATATAGAAAAAGTTTGACATATGTAGATTCATATTCATGCTCTACCCCATCCCCACTCTGTGCATGGAAGACAGCTTGTGAAAACTTTTCCTTCTTGACAATCAGTCATCAATCAAGCTGAATGGCAACTATTCCTTGCCTCCAGAAGGATAGGCATTTATTTCATAGAATCATAAATCACAGATTGAAAGCTGGAAGGAACTTTAGAGGTCACCTAATCCAAACCCCTCATTTTACAGATGAGGAAACATGCCAAAAGTGGTTCAGTGACTTGCACAAGATGACATTAATAAGTGTTTAAGGTGGCATTTGAACCCAAGATCTTTCTGATGCCAAGACCAGCACTCTATCCACTATGCCAAATGTATATGGCACACAGTCACACCATGTTCACATATATCTACAGAATCATCAATATATTGACTTAACCCAAAATATTTTTTTCAATTTAGGTATAAAATATTAACATTCAAGTCTCTGGAAATTTAAAAACCTGCCAACTATGAAAGGGAACATAATTATAAGGGAAGCAATCTGGTCAAGGTTAATGGGCCCCGAAGTATGACCTTGTTAAATCCATCAGCCATAGGTATTTGTCTCAGACATACACACACAGACACACACACACACACACACAGAGTATTTTCTCAAACAAGCCCTTTCATTTGATACCAACCAACAGTAGCTCAGTTAGGGACAGTACTGTACAGAATCAATGTGTACTAAAGGTATGTTTAAAAAAAATTAAAAGAACAATTTAAATTAACTGTAGGTACAATTTGTGCACACATATGAAAAAGCAGTGTAGTTTTTGGGATCCTCGGAGTTAAATTATGGAAACATTTTTAGTCTCTCACATTACCCCAGGAAAAAGACTAAAGGTCCTTCTTATTTTAAGAATACAATTAGGCAACACAAACTAAGTCTTGGGGTAAAAAAAAAATTACATAGGCCTCAAAAAAATCTATGGAGTTTAGGGAAGTCATATATCTGAATCTACTAGATATTAAAAAGTTGTTATATCTATACCCTGAACTAAAACAAAAGTTGCTTTGCAGTCTATAAATAATTAAGTGTATATCTTATTTCAAAAGGAATTCATTTACAAATACTTAAAACTTAAAAGTATCTAATTACTGAATAGATCATTAACCATAAGTTTCTGTTTCTGGAAAAATGCTCATACAAATGTAAAATAGATTATTGAATATTTTAAAATCCTCAAGAAACACAAATGTTAGTCATGAGTAAAAAAGGAACATCCACTTTATTAAAACCTTGAGTTTTTGTTGACTCAAAATGTTTCACAATCACAATCGGCATTTATCAAAGACCTGCTTAACACGAGGGAAGGTATAAAAAGAAAAGGGTGTTTCAAGATCCACTGAAAAGTAGACTAACTGCCACTTTAGTAAAATCCAACAGGATGAGTGTACTACAATAAAGCCTTTTCAGCTGCAGGAACTACAAATGAGCTACTGCTCACCTGGCAATTCTTAATTAAATGGGGAGTTTCTCTTTCACATTCTTGCGAGTATTATTTTCTTAAGACTAGACACTGGATGCCTTTTTCGGCTTCTGAAAAACATGGAATAGTAATGCCACTGCGACCTTAATGTGTTTTAACTATAATTTTGGATGTGGGTTGCTGAAAAATGGGAAAATTTTCAAGGGAAGCTCCTTTTTCCAGGGTTTAAGTTTCTCACAGAAAATTAATTATCATTACTTTAAAAAAAAGATTGGTTTTATGTCCCTAAAATCCAGAGTTCTTATAAATGTTTATGTAGAAAAAAAAATCTTGCTGGAAAGTACCATCCTTGCCTTGATCAACATTTACCTCTTGGGACGATGAATCTGGCTCTTTACCTCAATCCAAGTCACCCTCTGACTAATGTAAGGGAGTCTGATTGTCTTGGATCGCGTCCCTTAAGTAGTAGATGTGGGAGCAATTTGTGCCACAAAACCCAGCCGTGGGGATGAAAGACTTGAGTTTTTCCTAGCTGAGCCTCCAGGAGATAGGTAAAGGCAGTTTCCTTCACCGCCCAACAACTCCCCCCAGCTCTACCCCCGCCCCATTCCTTCCATTTCAATCCCTATTACCCCCAGCCCAGACTGGAGAGAACAGACAACTCCGGGCTGGGAGAACTGTTTCCGTTCTTCCTCCACTAACGAGGGACACAAAAGGTGGTCTTGCATCAATCTACAAACCCCAGGAAGATTCCCCGCCTTCTCTCCCTTCTGGGCATCCCTCGAGTGCTCCAGGGTCTCTCTTCAATCCTCCCGAAGAGCCCCGCAAAAGTTCCCTCCCACCACTCTTAGCCCCTTCCCCTGCCACGGCGGGTCCCCCAGTTCCTTACTCGGTAGGTGTTCTCGGTGAGCTTGCTCACTTCCTCCGGACCCCGAGACATGGTGCGGGTGTCTCTGCGACTCAGCCGGGAGTCTCAGTGCCTGCCTCTGGTACAGAGAGGAGGAAGGAGGCGGTGCCGTTCCCTGGTCCGGGGCCACGCCGCCTTCCCGGGGAGCTTGAGTTGAGGCCGAGGGCCCGGGGGCGCTCCCGTCTCCCCGTACGGCGTGCCTCTGGGAGGCGAGCGCGGGCAGGGGACAGTATGAGGGTGCGGGCAGGCAGGAGCAGGAGGAGGAGCGAGGCTGGGTCCGCGCGGTCCGCCGCCCGCCCCGGGGCGCCCCTCCCTCCCGCCGGAGCCCCCAGCGAAACTGTCAAAACTTGGGAGCTGGAGCTGCAGCTGCTACCGCCGCCGCTGCCGCCGCCAGCCCGGGAGGAGGGGGAGCAGGAGCTGGAGCAGGAGCTGGAGCAGGACGAGGAGGAGGTGGGGGGGAGCAGCGGGAAGGGCGGAGCAGCCTGACGCGGCAGCCCGAGCGCAGGAGGGGCGGGGCGGGGCGGGGCGGGGCCCGGCCTGGCCCTACCTGCCCGGGGCTTGGGGCTGAGCCTAGTTCGGCCGGGGCTCCTCGGGCCCGGGAGGGGCGGCCGGCCCCGGGAGGCACCCGGTGCGTTTCGCCGTGCGCAGGGCTCCCTCTCCAAGGCCTGCACCCCGACCCCCCGGCACAGGCCCGGGCTGCCCCCTTCCCCCCGGCCTCAGGACCCTCGGGATCCCGAGGAGCACCTGGGGCAGGACGGCTAAGGGGAGGGACCCTCGGAGGGCGGGAGCGAAGGCGGCTGGCTCGCCGCTCTTTTCCCGCGCCAACTCTGTCCAGAGGGCAGTAACTTGGAGCCTGGCGGTGCCAGGGTCTCTCTAAGTTTCCCAAACTGCAGCATGCGCTTTCTTCAGGCTCCTGCCCTGGGAGAGCCGTCCTAGGGGCACTGAGCAAGTTTTTTATTTTTTATTTGTTGGATGGTGGTGGTGGGGAGTGTTGTTAAAGCATCTTGAGTTCCTCTCATAGGGGTGAGAGGGTGCTGACTCACCCTTCCAACTCCCTACCACTCACTCTTCGAGCTGAAAACCCAAATGCACAGAGGGACATAGAAGCCAAGATTAGGAATGTATCTTTATATGTGCCGAAGCTATAAAGGAAAAGTTTTTTTTAAAATGTAAACACAATGAGGTCAACCAGAGAGTGAGGCTCCTGTCCAGAGAACTGTTCAAGTCGTTTGGTCTGTTTGTTTTTTGCTACTGTAACTCCAGAAGATATGTACTAAGGCAGAGAGGGGCTGCTATCCGCATGGGTGGAGGGTGCACCCACACTAAAGATAGCACTTTTTCCTGTCTGGAGAGGTTGTGTGGTACATTGGAGAGAAATGGGTGTAGAGTCAGAAGACCTGGGCTCAAACTTCAGTTCCTCCATTTATGACTTGTGTGACAATAGGCAAATTATTCGATTTCTGGGCCTCAGTTTCCTTATCCGTAAAACGAAGAGTTTGAATTAGGCGGTCTCTAAGGTTCCTAAGATCTTCGAAGTGAACTTGTGACAAGACATTCACTAGGTGTATTTCTCTCATTTTCAGTACTTATTTGTGTGCGAGGGGAAGGGAGAAAAGCATGCTCTTGGCAACTGCCGATAAAATTAGACTTAATATTGTTTTTCTCTTTTTGGTGACTAGTTGAAGAAATTGAATACAGTAGGGTTAAGGGTGGTGAGCCTTTTCTCATCTTCTTCTAAGGATAAAATTGAAGGGAGAAAGCATTTGTGAACAACTTAACTTGGCTTTAAATTCCGATAGAAATGTTTGGAAGTAGGGCGAAGAAGTAAAGGGAGGAATGGGATAAGGAGCCATTGTATTGTGCTACGGTTGGAGCTGGCAAGTGCTTAACCTAGGGCAGGTAGGTACTCAGTTATTCAATAAATCTGTGCCAGGATCTGTTTTAAGCGATGGGGCTAAAAAAAAAGGACCTCAAAATCTACTGGGGCAGACAAATACGTACAAACAAGCTATATGTATGATAAATAGGAAATAAGGAAGGGAAGACACTAGAATTAAGAGGGATTGGCAAAGGCTTCTGGTAAAAGATGAAATATTAATTGGGGTAAAGGAAGTCATGGAAGTCAGTAGGCAGCAATAAGGAAAAAGAGCTTTCCAGACATAGACAACCAGAGGAAATGCCTAGAATTGGGAGATTGTTAGGGGAACAGCAAGGAGGCCAGTGGTACTAGATTGAAGAGTAACTGAGTAGCAAGGTGTAAAAAGACTGGAAAATAGGAGGGGGCTAGGTTCTAAAGGGACTTTGAACGCTAGAGGATTTTGGCTAGAGGCCAGAGGGAAGTACTCCTCTTCCTTTATCCCCTTCCCAATTAACAAAAGAAACAAAACTCTGCTACTGGATGGTTCTTTAAATAAAAATAGAACATTTAAAAGGAAGACAAAGAATGGTAGGAGCTCTTTTTTGGAGAGATTTCTTCCTAAAAAATTTCTGAATGTGGCAGGTATTGAAATTACATCTAGTATGTACAGTTCACTAGGGAAAGACACACAATGAAATCTCTGTTATTTGTTATGTTGAGGTCAGAATGTAAGAGGTGTCGGACACTGGACTTAGAACAGAAACACAGATTGGACTCTTACATAGGAAGGACTCTGTTATCAGGTTTTGGAAGCTGTAAAATGAATGGAGCCTGGAGATGGAAAGGTGTACTTAGCACCTAGAAACAGCACTTAGTCTGTTAAGCAAAACTCATTACATCTTAAGGGAAAGGTGGATTTAAGCTGTTGAAGCTGCTTTTCCCCTCTTCACCTGATCTATAGTATTAAAAAACTCTGGTTATAAATATATTCTATAGAATATAGTGGTTTATACGTACTATATACATAGCAAGAAAAGCCATAGAGAGGATTGGTCTTGGAATCAGGAAGACTGGGTTCTAGTCATGCCTCTAACACAAACTAGTTCTGTGTACCATTGACAAATCATATACCTTTCATTTCCCTAGGCAGCTTTCTAGGACCACAAAGTACAAATTTTCACATCTCTGCTGGTTCATTATCTTTTCTCTGCACCTGTGAAATCACAAGTCCATCCATTGATAGATACAGGGTATCTCAAAAGTCTTAGCCTTGGTTCAGTTATTAGTCTAATAGTCTCTCACTATTTTTTAAAAATCATCTATACATATACAAACATCCTATAGCATAATACCATGTAACAAATGAAAGATTTTAATTAGTATATCTCTTTAGTTAACATCTTAGTTGCACTTGCAATATGTGAGTTATGAGTTTATAATTATTACCAGAATTACAACTAATGATAATAAAAAATGACATTCACTATACATACATATATAGCTCTCTCGCTCTCTCTCCCTCTTTCTTTCTTCTTTCTCTCTCTCACCTTTCATATTGTGACATCCTACAACGCCTTCTAATGAATAGGAATCATTTCATGCACCACTGAAACTCAGCTGAGTGGTGGAATAAGTATTAGGAATTTAACCTTTAACAATTCACAGTACAGCAATATTATTTAAATCCAGAAATGATAAAGAATAACATACCCCAATAAAAAACTAAAGTGAACTTCTTAGATGGTCGCTGTAATTACCCTTTTGATTATAGGGTAAGGTTAACAAAATAACTTTGTACAGATTCTCTTTTAATAGCATTTGTCACTGTAAACCAGAAAGAGTTTTTATATTTAATTATGAATATTGTTCTGGGAATTCATAGTACTTATAACAAAATCACACTGTCAAGTACTAACTTAGGAGAAACTACAGAATTGTCAGTTCTCCTTTGTTCAACATCCCTAGTTCAGACTCTTCCCACCTTTTACCTGGACAATCTCAGTATCCTTCTCATTGGTCTTATTGTATACAGTTCCCACCCCTACTTCAATCTAGCCTTCAACAAAGTTGGAATTGATATTGCTGAAGCTAAGATGTAACCAGAACACTCTTCCGCTCAGGAAGCTTCTGTGATTCTCGATTGCTGTTACAACAAAATACAAACTTATCTACTTGGCATTTAAAGCCCTTCAAAATCTGGCTCCAAACAATCTTTCCAGGTTTGATTATAGATTATTGCCCCTAACTCAGTTTGCTGTAGCCAAAAGGGCCTAATTGCTGTTTTTCCATAAAGCAAATTCTATCTCCTGGCTTTTAAGTCTTTGCCCAGGCCATAACTCACGCCTGACAGGCCTGCTTCTATCTCTTAGAACAAACAGGTAGCTCTCTTGAAGGCTCAAGTGCTAACTTCTTCTAGAGCTCTTTCCTTATTCATGGTCTCCCCACACAGGAGCTCATTCCTCTTCCTACCCTCCCCCTTCTCCATCACCTTATATCAGTTTTATATATATCTGTAAATGAATGTTGTATCTCCTTGATAAAATTTAAACTCCTTGAGGGCAAAGACTATTTCCATTTTTTTCTTTGTGATCCCAAAGTCTATCAGAGTACTTTGCACACAGTAGTTGTTTAATATGTGTTGTTTAATAATTTATTTATTGATTAATTTTGTATATATCCACAGCATTCACTTATCTATTTACATGTTCTCTTTCCTGGTATAATGAAACCAGGGATTGCTTAATTTTTTTTTTTACGTCACCAGTTCTTAGCACATTGTGAAACATATAGTAGACACTTCATATACATACTTAGTGAATGACTAATTCCCTTTACCTTTCCCTCTATGCTGAGAATGGGCTGTGTCACCTCTCAGATGTAAAAATAAGTCTAAAATGAAAGAAATCTGGCTTCTTTTCTGCAATTTACCTAGGACAAGCTGGAAAGTTTCAGTTTTTGAGTCACGTTCACTTTTTGTGACCCCATTTTCTATTTTCTTGGCAAAGATACTGGAGGGGTTTGCCATTTCCTTGTCCAGCTCATTTTACAGATGTAGAAACTGAGGAAAACGGAGTTAAGTGAACTGCCTAGCGTCATACAGCTAGTAGGTGTCTGAGGTCAGATTTGGATTCAGGAAGATCAGTCTCCCTGACTTCACGCCCCTTGCTCTACCACTTAGCTGCCTGGAGTCAGTAAGCCATGAGTTCAAATGCAGCTTTTCAAGACATTTTACTAGATGCGTGACCCTGGGCAAGTAACTTAACCCTGTTTACTTCAGTTTCCTCGTCTTTAAAATGGGAATACCAATAGTACCTTCCTCCCAGGGTTGTTACGAAGATCAAGTTAGATAATATTTGTAAAGCATTTGGCACATGGTAGTTTCTTAACAAATACTTGTTTCTTTACCTTCCTTTAGGCTTCTTAAGCACATGAACTTTATATTATGACAAATAGTCTCCATTTTCTCTGCTCTCATTCATTCATAAGAAAAATAGAAATCTTTGACATCCCTTCCCCTCCCATTAGACATTTACTAGCTATATGATCCCGGGTAAATCATTTCTCTTCTTCATGCCTCAGATTCTTGATCCTTTCTAGCTCTAAATCTGGGATCCTATGATCCTATGAAATGTTATTCAATCAATCAAGCATTTGTTAATAGCCTACTATGTTTCAGTCAGGATCTTTGCTAGGTGCTGGGGAAATGACAAAAATGAGACAGTTTCTGCCCTCGAGAAGCTTATCTTCTATCAGGGGATAAATATGTACACATACAAGGAAGGATATGGTGGTAAGTGTTTAACAACCTCCCCTCTTCTCCACAAATGTTTACATGACATGCTTTCAAGTTCATTCTGTATTAACTTTTTCTCCACTATTTTCCTAAGTGTAGACAATCAACAAAACAGTAAATCAAGCCAAGGTGTAAATACTCACATTGAAAAATGAGTGATCAACTCTGGCAGCCAGTTAGAACTGGCTCCAGCACACTCCTTACTCTGTACATAAAATATATGCAAAATAAATGCAAGGAAACTTTTTGGGGGTGGCACTAGCAGCTGGAGAGATTGCTTTACTCTTATACTGCAACTTTTTTCTAAAATAAAAGTTTTAATTTGTGTTCATATAGACACTAGAGTTTGTTCTGAGAATATAACCAAAGATGATGAAAGAATGTTGCTATTTTGAGGTAGCTAGGTATGGTGGACTTGGAATCAGGAAGTGAACGAATTCTGCCCCAGATACTTATTTGTGTGACCTAGGGCAAAGCAATTCTGTGGACCTCAGTTTCTTCACCTGTAAAGAGAAGAGATTGGACTCAATGACTGTAAAGTTCCCTTTCAGCTCTCAATGAAAGGGAGACTACCGTGGTATTAATTCACTGGATGTTATTATATCTCAGTTTCCTAATCTTTAAAACAGAGTTGAATTAGTTGATCTCTAATCCTTCTAGGTACCTTCTAATTCTTTTTTCAAAGTTAAGATTGTTTCAACTTCGCAACAACTGATTTTCAAGCTTTCCTTCACCTTGGTTTCTTGTAACTACAGCACTGGCCTGAGGGCTCTTTACCAATGGCTCCAATGAGGACAGATAGGAGGAATTTCTAGGTGAAGAAGCTCCTTCTACCTAGGCAAGTTGTCACCTTCCTTCCAAGGTTGACTAATTGACTTGTTCAGGGTCATAAAGCCAGTATGTGTCCCTTTTTCCCTTAAATAATTTTTCTTCTCTTTCCAAATAACCAAACTATTATCATGTCTGCAAAGTTTTTCTCTCATCAAGGCCTTATTCTTGAGACCCAATACTTTCCTTTTTCAGGTGGTTAGTCAAGATGGGAAAAAAAATTTGTCTTTGGTATTGGTCTGGAACTGAAAGAACTGGGAGGAGAGGTATGTATTCCTTTCGCGTTTGTTCTGAACTTACTTTGTAGAGATGCATTGTGTTTGCTGACCACATCTTAAATTCTTTCTCCTAGCTGATTATATTGTTGTCACTGAACTGAAAACATGAGAACTCTCTGGATTTCTAACCCTTTTCCCACAGTGAACCATATGGGAAGTTGGTCAAGTAGAATGTAGCAAGGGATTCCTTGGCACTAGGAAGACTCACATCTCAACACTTTAGTTCTTTTTCAATGTGACCTCTTCCTACCTTTTCAGTTTTCTAATACCTTCCTCCCCTCTAAGTATATTTCTAGTACTAGGGTTAGCATATAATATGTGCTTAATAAATACTTAACTAAGACTCAAGATCATAACTCTGATTAACCCTTTTGCCCTTCAGCTATTACATATACTCCAGCTCTTGATGTTAAGTCACTGTACTAGTCCCTTTAATATTCTTTGCTGGTATTTTTTTTTAAGTGAATGTCATGGTCTCATTTGTTTCTAATACAGATATAGGTTAGACATATGAGGATATTCCCATCACTACTCATCACTGTTCTCCAGTTCTCATTTTTAATTTTCATGGATTTATGAGTGTAATGAATTATCAGAGAATGTAATTGTTTTAGTAGAAGGGGAAGTATTAGTCCCATGGATTTAAAAAAATCAGCATAAAAGGAAAATTTCCATTAAGGAAATGCATAAAATTATAAATAGTTGATCAATAACTTCTGTTTATCAATAGTAATTTATGTATTTCTTTGAAAATGTCCCCAACATATTGACTTTGACCAATAAGCAGAGATCTGCTTAAGAATCAATGGGAGCTTTGCTGAGTCAGGAAGTCTGACTTTGTCTATTAAGCTTGTTGCAATGTCACATTACTTTCCGATCACTATAAAACTTTTAGCATGTGTTTTTACCCAGCCAAATTGTCCTGTTGGCAATTTAAGTTGCTCTTAAGCAGTGATAAATTCACCATAGAGCTTGCCTTGCTATTTAAAGTGCATTTATCAATTAAAAATGTGTATTCTATGCATTATTTGACATAACTATTCAGGGATATTCGAAGTCTGTGTTTACTCTAGCACAGCTTTCTTAGATCTGGCAGTACAACCAAATAGGATATTGGTAAGGAAGTCAGGAGGGTATGAGCTTTATTACCATCTTGCTGTATGACCTTGGACAACTAACATTTCAGTACTCAGTTTCCTCATGTGTAAAATGAGGCAACTGTACTAAATGATCCCTTCCAAATCTAGGATTCTTTGACTCCATAACGGGATTAAAATGTTGGACAAAGTGATGTTGAGTTCTTAAATCAACATGTGTAAATAAGAAAAAAAAATACTGGGGTGGGGGAGATGCATCCTTTGACAATTTTATTCCTATATTGTTATTGAATTATATTATTAATGTGCCCATATCTTTCTGCCACTTTCAAATTAAATTACATGTCAAAATTCCAACTTTGACTATAAAACATAATAATATAGTCACTCATGTTGGGGTAGGGGGGGCCTTTGGCCAGCTCTCAGTCCTGTTTTGATTTACTGCTAGGCCGCTTCGTTCCAGAGGGACCAGAGATCAGACGCCTTAGTGGACTTAACCCTTTCATTGCTGGAACTCCCACCCTGGGGCCCCAATATCTCAGACTGGTGAGTCTCCCATGGCCCATTTTATCTAAACTGGCCCTAGCCATGTTTCATTTTACCCTCCAGCTATCTTCTTGCCATCTGCCCTGAAACAGCTTGAGTGTGTTCCATACCTCTCTCTTCCCTATTGCTTTCTAGTTCTGTAACCACGTGATCAAACTGCCATTTCTACTAGAAAGGATGTATCAACCTGCTCTCCCATAGCTTTACTCATCATCCCTGTAACTTTCCAACCAAAATATCCCTCCTAGGACACCATTCCCTTGTATGTGCTGTCTCTCCCTATTAGAATAGAAGTTCCTTGAAGGTTATACTGCATCAGATTTTGTATTTATATCTCCAGGGCTTGGCAGAATACTTGCCACACAGTAGGCACTTAAAAATACTTTTTTTTTTCACAGTTATTTCCAAGAAATAACTGTTTCTGAATAATTTTTCAGAGTTGGAAAATAAGTGGTTTAAATAATTCACAAAGCCTTTAAACCATTAATAATTATTTATACAACACAATGGGCACAAAAATGAGACCAACAAAAAATATCCTTTGACTAGAATGAGCCCTTAAAGGAAAAAGCAGAATATAAGTTACACATTTAAAAAATGCTTAATAATTCTATACACTTGAAAACATAAATTCTTGGTAGAGTTCTGCAGAGGAGTAGATTTTTCTATAATGTAGAAGAATATTTTGCCATAATTCACAAAAATTAGTTAATTATCCTGATGTTTAGAAATTTGGATATTTGACATAAATGCAAACAAAATAGCTGTATGAATGTGGATTTTTTTTCACCTTTTTTTTCTGGCAATTCCAGGGTCACACAGCTAGTAAGTGTCAAGTGTTTGGTCTGAGGCCTGATTTGAACTCAGGTCCTCCTGGCTCCAGGGCTGGTGCTCTATCCACTGCCACACCTAGCTGCCCCCTTTTTTCACTTTTAACTAAGTATTTTAGCATTTTATGGAGTTTTGACTCAATAGATTTTCCTTCCATCTTGGTATACAGTCCAATTCTTATTGTCTTTAAATATTTCCAGGATGAGGTAAATTTGTAGTTATATTCTATACAGTGAATCCCCTTATCTGAAATAAATTTTACAAATATATAAGTATAAAGAGCATAAAAAATGTTTTACACAAGTATAAAGACTATAAATGAGCTATAATTTTCTCCTGGTTCTAGGGCAACATTTAAAAAAATAAATTTTTATTTTTTGTTGTTTGCTGTTTTTTTAAATAATTATAATTTCTTCCATTATCTTTTCCCCTCCCCTTCCAGAAAGCCATCCCATTTAACATTTGTTATTTTTAAAGACAAAAAATTGGGGCAGCTATAGAGCACCAGTCCTAGGGTCAGGAGGACCTGAGTTCAAATCCGGCCTCAGACCAAACACTTGACATTTACTAGCTGTGTGACCCTAGGCAAGTCACTCAACCCCAATTGCCTAAAAAAAAAAAAGGCAAAAATTTAAAAAGAAGAGGAAAAGATCAACTGATCAACACATCAAAAAAACCTGAAAATTTGTCCAATATATAATCCTTGTGGACCTCCTGCTTCTGCAATGGGGTGAGGTGAGGGTCTCTTCTCGCAGCTTTTCTTTTGAATCAGGATTATTCTTTCTAATTTTCCAGTGAGAGATTATTGCTCCTCAGGAGATTCATTCATTCATTCACTCATAAGCACTGATTAAGGACATATTATATATAAGACAAAGTGCTACATACCCGAGATACAAAAGTAGATCAAAAGCTGGCCCCCTCCCTCAGGGAGTTCACATTCTACTTATAAGGGTTACACAATATTTATTCAGAGAACTAACTGCAAGATATTTGAGGAGGGAGAAAGCATAATAACTCTGGCCTCATGTAGGCGTTGCAGGAACCCAGGAATTCTAAGAGGCAAAGGAGGGGAGGAAGTGCTTTCCAGGAATAGGGTGCAAAGGTAATAAAGGCAGGATGTGGGATGCTGAATTTGGGAAATAACAAATAGGCCGGTTTGTCTAGATCCAAGAATATGTGAAGGTGAGTGGTGTGAAAAAAGCATGGAAAGGTAAGTGGGAACCAGTTTGTAAAGGGCTTTAAATGCCAAGCTGAGGAGTTTGTGATTTACCCTATGAAAGATTCTTAGTCAGACCTGAGCTTTTTGGGGCAATTATATGTATCATGAATTGCAGAAGGAATACAGTAGAAGCAAGAAGACCTAATAATTATAATGCTAAAAGTAATAATAGCTAGCATTTGTATGGCACTTTAAGGTTTGCAAAGTGACTTACAAAAATGATCTCATTTTAACTTTATAGCAACCCTGGGAATTTGTTACTATTTTCATCTCTTTTATAGATTAGGAGATTGAAGCAGACAGAGGTTTTTGCAATAGTTCAGATATTTATCTCTTTAATCTCTAAGCTACTGCTCTAGTTCAGTGTGCCCTGCTAGAATTTTATTGAGGGACGTATTAAAACATATGCAATAGTCAGACTGAGTGTCTCCTTACAATATAGCAATTTTCTCAACTCCAAATCCTCAGTCCCGCATGGAGCTATGCTTCTGGGTAATGAGGAAGCATTGAGGTGGTTAAAGTTTCCTTTTTTCCTGTGTTTGCCTAATATTCTTTTTAACCTTTTTTTTGCATTTGCATAAAAATATTGAAGTGAGGAAGACTCAAAGGTGAATGGAGAGTATAATTTGCCATGGTTTGCATCTCCCTAGGCATTTTGGGTTAAAAACTCAGCATATATTTACAAATAATTTGTATAAACATGTATATTGAACACATAGTATACACTTAATAAATGCTTTTCACTCATTCAGTCGTTTGTTTATTCATCCATCATAGACTATGTAGTCAATTTTCAGGGAAACACAAGGTATAGTGTTAATTTGATTTAAGGCATAATTTTTGGACTTTTCTCCCCTTTATTTTATTTCTTAAATATTATATTGGTTCAAATCTTCTAGATTAGAGGTAATGGCAGGGAAGGATCAGATGGTCTCTGAAGACTCTTAGAAATCTTTTAGTCAATACATTTTTACCTTAGCATAGAATTTGGTATAAAAAGGGCTTTTTTTTTTTTAATGAGGCAATTGGGGTTAAGTGACTTGCCCAGAGTCACACAGCTAGGAAGTATTATGTGTCTGAGGCCAGATTTGAACTCAGGTCCTCCTGACTCCAGGGCCAGTGCTCTATCCACTGCACCATCTAGCTGCCCCCTTAAATGGGCCTTGTTTAAGGCCCAGAAGGACTTTAGTTAATAGAAAGACTTCATTTCATAATATGGCATCACCTATATTGTAGACTAAAGATGTTGCCTATACCATATAGCACTTACCTATAGTAAGCACTTAATAATTGCTGTTGACTGATTGTTGACTGTTTGCTTGCCAAATAAATATACTGTCTTGTCAAACAAGATAGGTTTAAGAATATCTGTGTAATGATGTGTGCTGCAGTGAATAGAGGACCGGAGCTGGAGTCAGAAAGACCTAAGTTCAAATCTGGCCTCAGATACTTAATACCTGTTGACCCTAGGCAACTCACTTAACCCTGTTTGCCTCAGTTTCCTCATCCGTAAAATGAACTGGAGAAGGAAATGGCAAACCGCTCTAGGATCTCTGCCAATAAAACCCCAAATGGGGTCATGAAGAGTCTGATGAGACTGAAATGACTGAACAACAAGGATCTCTGAAATGAGTTGGAGGTTGTAGTGAATAATCAATAGTACTGACATCTGTATGGCCAAATGTGGTACAAAAAGCAATACCAATTGGTAGAATCTGATGAAGTACTAATGGCTATATGGACCCAGAAGCCCTTGCTTCTTGACCTTTGAGGCACAGTGCTGGGGAGAAAAGTTCTTATCTGGATTATTCAACCCCTTTTAGTAGAATAGTTGTAAGATTTTGTTCTTCAGAGTTGCCATTTCAGCTTTTTTCCCCCTCTTTCTTTCTTTCTTTCTTTCTTTCTTTCTTTCTTTCTTTCTTTCTTTCTTCTTTCTTCTTTTTTCTTTCTTTCTTCTTTTTTCTTTCTTCTCTCCTCTCTCCTTCTTCTTCTCCTTCTTCTTTTCTTCTTCCTTCTTCTTCTTCTTCTTCTTCTTCTTCTCTTCTTCTTCTCCTTCTCCTTCTTCTCCTTCTTCTTCTCCTTCTTCTCCTTCTTCTTCTTCTTCTTCTTCTCCTTGTCTTCTTCTTCTTCTTCTTCTTCTTCTTCTTCTTCTTCTTCTTCTTCTTCTTCTTCTTCTTCTTCTCCTCTTCTCCTCTCCTCTCTCTTCCCTCTCCTCCTCCTCCTCCTCCTCCTCCTCCTCCTCCTCCTCCAAAGGACTACGTCCTTTCTCTTCTGCCATTTGCTGTATTTTCTTTTGTGTTACTGGATCATTATAGTGACTGAGTCTAAGATTCATCATGATCAACCACTTGTGCCTTACCTTCAGTTAGAATGGGAAGTTGAATATAATAATTCCTGACATTTATATGGCAGTTTAAGGTTTGCAAAGCACTTTATTTTTGGCCACAGTGACTCATAAGACCATTTATATATATTTGAGCCTTATGACAATCATGTGGGGGTAGGTGCTATTCTTTTTTCCATTTTACATAAGGAAGGGGAAAGAGCATTGACACTGAAGTCAGAGAACCTGAGTTCAAATCTCACCTCTAATGCTTACTACTTGTGTGACCATAGGTAAATACTTTCATCTCCCTGCACCTTAAGGTTCTTTGAGGCCATGTGTGGCTCTCTAGGGTCCTCAAGTGCAGCCCTTGGACAGATTCCAACAAATGAATCCAATGAAACAAGTCAAAGGGCCGCACTTGAGAACCTAGAGGGCCACATGAGGCCTCAAGGCCACAGGTTCCCCAACCCTGAGCTAGATGATATTACAAGTCCCTTCCAGCTCTGGTTTATGATCCTGAGGCTTGTGACTTGCTTGTGGTCTCACAGCTAGAAAATGTTGGAAGCAGGATTCAAATTCAGGTCTCTCTTGACTCCAAGTCCACTGTTCTTTTCACTCTCT